TCCACGTCCCCACCCCGTGTTCCCATCTCCACGTCCCGAGGTCCCCACTGCCACTCCTGTGTCCCCTCCACCCCCCCCAAGTGTCACCTCATCACCACGACGTGTCCCTCCATCCCCACGACCACGTCCTCCAGCCCATCCCCCGTCAGGTCCAGCCCCCCGGCCACCGCCTGCCCGAAAAATCGCCCCGGGGCCACCACGGCCCCCTGCAGCCTCTGAGGGGGGAGGGTGGGGACACCTCAGCCCGTGATGTCCCCTTCCCCCACGGCGGGGGGTCTGTCCCCCTCCTCGTGTCTCCCCCCATCCCCCCCAAAAGGTCCCACCTGGCGGGGGTGCAGCTCCACCCCCCCGGGCCGCCCCCAAAAGATGTAAATGGCCCCACGCTCCTCGTCCTCCAGCGGGGCCCCCACGGCCACCTCGGGCAGGTCATCACCGTCCAGGTCCCCCAGTGCAGCCAGGGACGCCCCAAAACGCCCCAGGGGGTGGCCAGGGGCACCCCAAAGCTGCCCAGAGGGGTGCAGGGAGTCCTGGGGGGGTACAAGGGGGGTCACCTTGGGCAACTCCCAATCCCATGGGGGTCACTGAGGTCACCCCGTGGGGTCACCAAGCTGGTGGCCACCATGGTGACCCCACATCTCTGGTTTGTGGGTCACCCCTGGTCACTCCAGCCCCACATCTCTGGTTTGGGGGTCACCTTGGTCACCCTCGGGCTGATGTCACCCCCTGGTCACTCCAGTCCCATGTCCATCAGGTTGGGGTCACCCACGGTCACCTTCATCCCACGCCTCCCCCAGCTCGGGGTCCTCCTGGACACCCCCAGTGTCCCTGGGCATTCTGTCCCCCCTCCCCCCCCATTTCTGGGGGTCGTTGGTGGTGCCCCCCAGGGGGTAGGGGTGACAGGTGACCCCCCTCTTACCTGGTCCCACCTGTACAGGTACACTCGTCCCCCCCGGCGCCCATCGTAGTGGGTGGGGGCCCCCACCAGCAGCGCCACCGTCCCCCCGCCCTGCTCCAGGGCGCAGAGGGTGGCCCCAAAATAGGACCCCACCTGTGGAGGGGGGGACATCTGTGTCAGTGAGGGGGGTGGGGAGCACCCATGGGGAACCCCCCCAAAATGTAGGACCCCACCTACCGGGTGACACGTGTCACCTGGGGGGGGAGTGGTGACACCCAGGAGTCACCCTGTCGCCCCCCCCCCACCCCGTACCTGCTCCCCCTGGAGGGTCTGCAGCACCTTCCAGTCCCCGGCAGCCTCGGGGACCTCGAAGAGGATGACCCCCCCCACGTAGAGATGTCGGGGGGCACCCGCGGCCACCAGAGCCCGCCCAGGGACCCGCAGCCCTGCCAGGGAGTAACCTGGGGAGCGTTGGGGGGTCACCAGGGGGGGTCAGGGGGTCACATCGGTCAAGGTGGTCACCAAGATGTGATGACCTGGTCACTCCTGAGCTTGTTTTGGGGGGTGGGGTCCCCCCATGGTCACCCCGGGTTAGGGTCACCGTTGTCACCTGCTCCTCC